TATTCATGAAGGATAAAAACACTATTTCAACTTGTGTTAGTAAAGGTGGTTACTAACCTTTATACATTTTAAATCTTAAGTGGTTTTTCATTTGTTACAGGTTTCTGTTTGAATTCGTTTTTAAAAATTGATAAGCTGCTGCCCTCTTGTGGGAAGCCTACGTCATTGTGCTTCCTTGTTACCTTTATTTCTTTGCTTTATGATATATTTCAGTTTATTAAACACAACAGCACACTCCAAGATGATCTCTTCTTAGAAAAGTCACTGTGGCATTTAATTATTAATCTAGCACCCTTAATATTTTGAAATAAAAAAATTATTAATCTAGCAAGTTAATCATAGCTGTTGGAGTTTTAGCTATGGAATTTGCTTATCCTAATATATTTCTGAAAGTAGAGCATTTTGAAACTTCCCTCTTCTTTGGTGCAATCACGTAATAAAACGTAGACCTTTTTAATGTATATGCTTAAGACTAGTTCTTTTGTTAAAATAGTTTTGAGATATAATCCACATACCATATACTTCACTCATTTAAAATATACAGTCAGTAGTTTTTAACGTATTCACCGATATGTTCAGCCTCTGCCACAGTCAGTTTTAGAACTTTCTGAATCTCAAAAAAGAAACTGTGTCCTTTTGCCGTCATCCTCTTATCCTCTTTTTGTTATGCCCTGCTCCCCCACCTTTGAGCCTTAAGTAGTCACTAGTTTACTTTCTGTCCCTATAGATTTGCCTACTTTGGACGCTTTCTATAAACAGCATATGATATGTGGGGTCTTTTGTGATTGGATTTTTCACTTACCGTAATGTTTTCAAGGTTCATCCGTGTTGTAACATGTGTCAGTACTTCATGATCTTGTTATGTCAGAATAATATGCCATTGTATTGTTAGACTGTTAGACTACGTTTTGTTTTTCCATTCATCAGTTATAGACATTTGAGTTGTTTCCACTTTTTGGCTATAATGAGTAATGTTTCTATAAACATTTTTGCAAATGCTTTTGTTTGGACATGTTTTCATTTTTCTGTACACTCGGGAATGGATTTTGGTTCACATGGTAATTCTGTTTAACTATTTTGAGGAACTGCCAGATTGTTTTCCAGAGTGGCTGCACCAGTTTACCTTTCCACCAGCAGCGTATGAGGGTTCCAATTTCTGCACATCCTTGCCAGCTACTTGTTATTATCTGACTTACTGATTGTAGCTATTCTAGTAGTTATGAAGTGGTATCTCATTCTGGTTTTGATTTTCATTTCTCTAGAGATTAATGATGCCTAGCATCTTTTTATGTACTTATCGGCCATTTGTATAAATTCTGGAGAGAAAAGTCTATTCCAACCCTTTGCCCATTTTTAAATTGGGTTGTTTCTTTATTATTGAGTTGTAATCTCTCTTTCGATTAATGTTTGCATTATAGATCTTTTTCTATCCTTTTACTTTCCACTACCTACATTATTACATTTAAAGAGGTTTTTTGAAGACAGCGTGGAGTTAGGCTCTGTTTTAATCCACTATGCCAGATTCTATCTTTATTTGGTATGTTTAAACTGTTTACATTTATTATGATTATTGATTTATGAGGCCTAAGTCTGCTATTTTGTTATTTTATTCTTTTTTTTTTTTTTACTGCCTTTCTGTGAGTTACATGAACAATTTTTAGAATTTCCTTTTGCTTTATTTATAGTGTTTTTGAGTGTATCTCTTTGTATAGCTTTTTTAGTGATTGCTCTGACTCCTTACAGAAAAAGTTTGCAGACTCAAGGTCTAGACTTAAGAAAATGATGGAGAAAATGTTAATTATGCAGATTAAATTTAAAAGTATGTCATGTCATAGCTGTTCATATTGTGAATAACAAAACAAGAAAGTAGCCTTCTAGTATTTGAAAACTTATCTAATTCAGTAAAGACTTTGCTCACATTATTGACCGAGGAGTGAAGTTCAACATAAATCTTTGCTGTTTTAGTATCTCTTTAACATAAATGAAAGTATCATCCAACAATCATGCTATGACTGTACTTATTCATCAGTTGCAACCATAGGTTAGCTACAGATACGAGTTCTGTGATAATCAACTAACACATTCTGTGAGAATCAATTTGTTACCTGGAATTTACAATAAAGTATTATAGATTTTGTTATTTGTGAAATTGTGCTATGCATCCTTTATAGCAGTAAAATTTGTAATAAATTGTATACCTATGTGTGTGTGTGTATAGATGTGTCAATATCTGGATATATGTGTGTATGTGTAGTCACATATATGCATGGTTCTCTCTCCCCTAACCTCATACCAGTTGTTAAACATTTAACAGTATACTACTGGAATATTACTATTACTTTGACATTTTAAATTTAAAAGTACCCACAATTTTAGTTTAATAGTAATTCTTACTGAACAAACCAAACTGATAAGGAAATATGTCACTGATGCCTTCTATTTCATGGTGTCATTGTCTTTATGTAATAGTTGGTGAGTTGTCAGTGGACTTCCAGTGTCTCAGGTAGACCATATAAGTGACTGTTGTTAGATAAGTGATTATGTGAGTACAGTATTCCTTCTTCTGAGTATAGAGGAACTTTATATTGATAATCACTAAGAGAATGTTGGGTAAAACATTCATGGAAGAGTGCTCCCCTACTCTTCTTGCTTCAGATTCTAAAAGCTTTGGGTAGCATCTCACTTCTGTTTCATGTCATACTGATATTGCAGAAAGAAAAGAGATTATCTGATGTTTGATCCCTTAAGAATGGTACAGAGTGTGTGCTTAATGTCCACATGTTTTAAGGATTTTCTAAAATGATATTTCATAATCTGATGCAGAGCAGCAAGAAATAGTCTAGTATCTCAGCCCTAATACTTATTAATATGTATTTCTATTTGTGAAATATTAAAGGACATTACTTTAAAATTAATATTAGACTTTCTTCTCTGACTTTGTAGAGACCTTTTAATTCCCTTTGCATTGCTGAACAATTGAACATTTATGTAATATCCCTGCTTTGTGTAACTTTATTTCTCTAATATATGTTTATGTCTAATTCTAAATTTATTTTGACTTTTCCCCCTTCAGTTTAATGAGTGGTGTTAAGAATAATGTTGGAAGAGGGATCAATGTTGCCTTGGCAAATGGTAAGAAAAATTTTAGCTTGTAGATGTAATCAATGGGAATTCTTGTGCCCAAAAGTAAAATGTACTCCACTATTAAGAGATCAGGTTAGAAAGTGCCACTCTTGACACTAAAGTCTTCCTTCCTTCCCCACCCAAAATCATCTATAGATGGAGACTCAGTGTCTAAGTATTTATAGCATGCTTTCTTGAAATTATCCTAGCTTGCTGTGTACTCTGTAGAGAGCTTCCCGTGAGATTGTCAGAAAATAATCTAACGTTAAATTGATGAAGTCTTGCTGCAAATATGGGAATCCTAACATAATATGAAGATAAGTTGACGGGAATGAAGGTGTGTAAAATGACAAAGGATGGTGGGCAATTGGATGGGCTAGGGGAAGGAACAGAATGAGAATTTACTGTAAATTTTCAGTATCAGCCACATTCTTCTGATGGGTTCATTAATATAAATCAATTCATTGAATCCTGAATGTCTCGAGTGTTCTTGCAAAACGAAACTGAAAATTTGAAACCGTTAAGTGAGGCCTAACTGCACACTGATCCTCTCTGTTCTGGTACAATAAGTATCCCTTAAAGCTATATAGCGTGGCCAGAAACCATCAGCCACCTTACCCAGTTCATGGTGTAGGAAAATATACTTTAGTGTTTTCATAAGAGGTAAATTTTTGTGTTTCTGTCTTCACTTTCTTCATTTTCTTAGGTAAAAGGTTCAATATCTATTTGTTTTATTTAATAGGAAAAAATACATTTTAAAAGGAAAATAAATGGAAATTTTATTTTAAAATGACTTTAATATAGAAAGTGACATCTGATTCAAGGAAATATTTCTTTTTGTAAAAGGTTTATTTTTGGGTAATTCTTAAATAAGGGAAGATGGTAACACATACAGATGAAATATGTCTAATTATGAGTGATCTGCAGTCAGTAATGAACTTCTGTTTGCCATTCTTTGATTCAAAAGATTAATGAGAATGTCCCGTTGAAAATTACTCTGAAAGTATATTTCATATGCATATGATTCAGATTTTAAGTTGCTCTCAAAATAATTCCTTCTCTGCTAATAAATTCACATCAATCATTGAATAAGATCATTTCTTTTCTACAGTGTATGGTATATTTCAGTTGCATAATTTTATATGAATTCAATCTCTTTCAGGAAAAACAGGGGAAGTATTAGACACTAAATATTTTGACATGTGGGGAGGAGGTAAGAATGAATAACATAACTCTGTGTTCTGTTGCTGGCACTGACTTAATCACCTCAATA